ATGATAGCTTTTAGTGTTGAAAAACAGTTGTTCGTTAACTTCAACAAAGGTTTTGGCACGTCATCATGTCATCTTTAGGTTTTGCTTCCTATTTTCATTTAACTAATAGATGGAACCTTCAAGTTAACTGCTGCATTTGCACCTCAGGTTTGGACATGTTTTGAGAAATAGAAACAAGTTCATTAAAGGAAGAAAATGCAGCAATTTTTTTTTTGAGCCATGAAAAGTTTCGTGGATTTGATTAGACAATGTAGTCGCCTTTTTAACTTTTATCACTGCTAGCTTTCTTTAGTACGTCGAAGTTTTTGGGAAATGAAAAAATAAATATAAATATAAATATAAATATAAATATAAATATAATTAAATATAAATATAAATATAAATATAAATATAAATATAATATGATATAAATATAAATATAAATATAAATATAAATATAAGTAATATAAAATACAAATGTAAAAACAAGTATATTAATTAATTAATACAGCATCATATTGTACGTTTAAAGAAAAGATTTGAGCAGTTAAATCAGTTAATCTAAACTTACGTTCCCATAGCGCTACTTTGTCAACTGCAACAATAAGGATACATATATACACATCGGTGCTACAACGAGGAATGGGGGTTATAAGATTGCACAAAACCGTGCAATGATGATCGACTGATGCGAAACTGGTGAGTCATCAAACTATTGTCATTGCCGTTGTGGTTGTTAGTTTCAAAAAAGAAATGCGTTCCAGTTTTTTTTTTTTTTTTTTCCTGAACCTATCGTGTTGACGATGAGTTCAGGCTATCTAAAAAAGTCTGAGTATGGAGATGCTATATTTCACCGTCGCAAAACGGTTATTTGCTTTTTTCTACTACTACAAAGGTTCTGGCGTATTATCATTTCATTCCTAGGTTTTTTTCTCGGTGTAATTTAATTGGATGTTAGAACCTTGCAATCAATTGACAGATGCGGAGTTCAGACTAAGACACATTTTCTGTGCAAAAAAAATGATCCAATGAACAAACACAGTACAACAAATCATTTTTTTTCCAAGTTTTTAGAAGTTTCAATGACTGAATGAAGCGCTATAGCTTTATTTCTAACTGGTAATTCCGCTGGCCTTTTTGGTACGTTCAAAGTATTGAGAAATAATCTTCCCTGTTTAATTAATTATTATTTGAAGACGACAGAAATATAAATGAAGGAACGGAAATTACTGACTAATATGGTTTATAAAGTTTATTTTCAGATCAATTGGAGAAAGAATGGATCAATATAGAAAGTATTGGCTGCTTATAAAAATTAAATTCTGGCGTAGTGATGGTGTTGCATAAAACTGAGGTAAAGAAGATTCAGTATCCTGTGTGTCATACAACAACTCTTATAGGATTCAAGCGAGTTCTAAAGTATCGTGTCTTTGAAGGGATGAAGAATGCGAGAGAATTTTAGGGTTTCCTTATAAGCTTGCTATTTGTGGATGGTTCTCTGTCTAAGGTCCCTTATCTTTAACTTGCGCAGTGAATCTTTTTTCTAGAATAGAAACAAATTACTGCTTTATACGTTATAATGGACATTAATGACACTTTAAATTAATGTATTAAAAACTTGGTTTTATGGCGTACCAGGAATGAATTTATAAAGTAAATGATATTAAAACTTTTTCAGGTCGTCATTTTATAGTGAGTTTTTCAGGGAACTCGTCGCTAAGGTACGTATCAGCAATTGATCGCGGATTTAAAGTTAAATTGTAGTTTTTTAGAGCAGATTTTGGTCATATTGGTGGTTTGTCATCATTTCTTGAAGTCGCCCCTATATGATAGAAAGTGGAAAGTTTGAAGTGTCAGTCGATTTGACGGTATTGTCAAGATCTTTTCATGAGGGGCAAGTTTGCAGCTGCAGTCTGTGACATCAGGCTTACAAGAACAAAAAGTCTTTTAATCCTCAGTGTCATATAAAACGGTTCACTGATTGTTGTGAGAGACTACAAATTGAAAGGTACCGGAAGTATTTTTTAAGGAAGATCCGAAAGCAACGGTAGCGGCTCTGGCATAGTACCACTGATGACTGGTTGTTGTCTTCTTAAATTAACAGGAAAGTCCTTAGCTCCTATTTTGGCCCTGTCTTTTGCTTACTTACTTTGTAAAATACAGGGGAAAAGATGGAAGAAAAAAGAAGCAATCTATTCACCTTATTTGAACAAATATTTTTCGCTTTAATACAAACATTTCACTGTTTTTGTCGAAACTGTGTATGTTGCCATTAATTTTGCCGTAGTTAGCGTTCTAATTCTCTACGACTTCCAGCTTTGAAGTAATATTAAAGAAGTTTCGAAAAGTTGGCAGAAATCAAAAAACACTTATTTTCTTTCAGTCGTAAATGACAGTGAAAAAGTAAGGTCAAAATTTGATTGGTGTCACACGCTCAGCTATCACACTGCTAAGGCGACAAATATGGTTTTCTGTAATTAAAGCATCTTCCCAAAAGTATCAAGTTGTTTCACTTCATTCTATTTGCAGCCATAGTCTTTGTTTTGTTGGCTTACCCTAATAATTCCTAATTTGCAAGAAAATATTTATGGAGTTGTAACCAGGCAGCCCGAAAATTTGATGAATGCATTGACATTTATGATTCGTAAATATGACCGATTGTGAGGGTGGATGGATATTGTTTATCAGCAGGAAATGTCAGTCAAGAAATTATGTTCAGATATTTGCAATGCTGTACAATTTCAACTTTGTTATTGATATTACTACTGCTACTGGTTCTGTGTAGTTTAAATTGCATGGTTTTTAGAGCAGCAACAAATACATATATATTTCGTTGCATGAACTTAACGATATTTGTGCAATTTTGATAATAGTTTTTTTTTCCAGCAACAAGTTCTCCATTCGTATAATGTTGATTGTTTTTTTATTATGTTGGCAAAAACAGGAAAGTGAGGTTAATTGTCGTTTTGCAGAAGAAAGAAAAAAATACGATCAAATTATTTTCTTCTTTTCACTTCCCAAGATAAATAAAGCAGAGTAGAAAAGAAAACAGAAAGATTCCATTTATTGGTATCGATAAGAAAAATTATTAATAAGCACAAAAAACACCCCAAATCTACAGACTTACATAAAATATACGGCTAACATAGAAGTTAAACGGACACTTGCAATTTCCAAGTTGTCTTCTACTGCTGTCGTCAGTTTAGTAGTTTGACAAGCGCTGACGTGATTCCAGAGCAGTAGTCACTGATAGCGTTTGCTTGTACCTTCCAGTCTTTCGCATTCGCCTCCTCATCCCTCTCCCTTTCGTCCATACCCAATCACCCTCTCTACACTCCGATAACCCTCACTTTTTTGTTTGTTTTCATCACATGTTTTCCGTATTTCCATCAAATTTCCTTTCTGCTTATTTTTGCGCTTTCCATTACATTGCAAAGGATTATCCTCAAAATGCTTGTGACACTTTGGCAGATTGTAAGCAAAAACAGTAAGACTTAAAAAAAACAACGGAAAAAGAAAATGCACTTTTTTTCAAATACCATTTCAAGTTTCAGAAACTACTGATGTTGTAAGCGGCCATGTAACTGTTGTTCACTTCAGTTTTCCACCTACGCTAATCAATGATCGTTAAATAGGGCTGGCAGATGACATAAATAGCTCAGCATTTTAACTGAAGCAAAAAAAAAAAACAATTGGAAAAAAAGAAAAGGAACAATTTAATTTCTTTTTCTTTTGCAAAATATCTATTTCACTTTCGAAGAAATTCCATCTTCATCTTTATTTTTTTCTTATGGCGATGTGGTACTTGTTGCCTGTGCCACGGTATATCTTTGGTTTGTGTACTGGTTTGTGTACTAAGGCGGACGAGTACTGGAGATGAAGGAGAGAAGAACAAAATGAAACACAATAAAACCAATGCTACAGAACAGAATTGTTCAAAATTGCTCTCTTTCTTTTGCTAAATTGAAATTTTGACCGTAAGTTGGCAAAAAAAAAAACACAAGATTTATACTGTCTTTTTTTTCATTACAGTAATTGCATTTTAAAATAAAAACAAAAAAGAAAAATAAAACAACAGGGTTCTTTCTAATTTGTTTTTTTTTCTGGTAATGCACAAAGAAACTGATACCTATGACAAGATAGGTTTTTTTCTTGAATAAATATTTTATTTTTCACTTATAC